AGAATGATGTATTAAAGCTAGAAATGCGATGAAATTTATTGGTGAAAATTGATGAATTTAACTTAGAAAAATTTGATGATCATGATTTTGGACTTGTGAATTTTGGTGTTGAGACTTGTTTGATGAATAGTGGCATGATGGTATGATGATATAATAGGTTGTGAGAAGGTTGGATTGGTTAAAATTGAACGAAAATCCCTTGGAATGTCATAGGGCAAAATTCGAACCTTTGAGGGAAAATTGAGGAATTGATGTTGAAAAATGATTTGGATGATGATTTGTGTAGTTAAATGGTGCTTAGATGGTTGTGTTGTGGTTGGAAAATGAGCCTAAAGTGAAATATTTCGCAAAACGATGCGTAAATGTCATAAAACGGAAAAACGACGATTGAACTAGCCTCTAAGCAACCGAAGAGAGTGTTATAAAATGAGAAAGAAAATTTAGAAAAAATAAATCCCCAATTAACACCTATATGGCCGAACCTCCAAGGGGAAAAGGGGGGGTTTTTACGGTTTTCGCGTTCTGATGTAATCCGACGCGAAAATGACGAACCGACACTTGAATTGGCCTATTGACAACCTAATGAGGCGTAACAAAATGAGAAAGAAAATTTAGAAAAATAAATCTCAATTTAACACTTGAACGTCCGAACCATCAAGGGAGGATGGGGAGGATTTTGTGATTTTGCGTTTTGATGTTATTTGACGCGTACTGATGGATGTACCTAATTTTATAGGTTTCCGTACGTTGACTTGAATCCCGAAACTTGAATATGGGAGTTACCCTTGGTCTTGGACCAAGTGGATTGAGGTATGTAATTGGTTCAATGCATGTATAATTGTAAATTAGCATGTATTGTTTGAATTATAAGAGATTGGGAATGTCCTATGTGTAGGCATTCTGCTGTGTACCAAGTTGTGGGATAAGCTGTTGCAGAGCTTGTGAAAACAACATTTAAGGCAACCTCTTGGTACTGGGGCTTGTTCCCCTTTTCTGTTCCACCTTGCCAGTTGATGGCAACGGTAGGAAGTGTGTATGAATAGTATAGAACACATGAGCATGCATGCATTATTGCTATGGGTACTGAGGTACCGAGTCTCTGGCCAGTAGACAGTTTTATTAGCCTTTGGGAAGTTTCGGACTTCCGCTGGATATGTCTCCAGGAGGGAGGTCCAGTTGATTGCGTGTCATGGTGTGTGATCCGGGTAGGAGCACACTAGGAATGTCTTTGGCGTTTTGGATGGTTTGGGCATCATGGTTGTGGTTTCTGTGAACACACCTTGGATGATACCCATAGGCTTATATATGCCCAGGGCGTACGTGGAATTGGGGTTACCATCACGTATCGTCGTAGTTTGTATATTTACATTCCCCATTTCTCTAAATCCCTTGCTATATCTCGTTTTCAAAGTGGTTGTTTTATTCTATTGATATGCATCGAAGTGAACCATTGGGTGGAGTTTTCTCCAGAACCTCTTGGTTACTGAGATATATTCGTATATCTCACCCCGTCTCGGGGCATTTATTTCAGGAGGTAGCAGTGGAGCAGGAGCAGCGGGCAAGAGGCCCGCAGAGTGAGCAGAGGAGTGCTTCATATTTTGCTTTTGTTGGCCGTGTGGCCTAGGCTAGACTTAGGGCATGAACATCTCTTACGTATGTAGTATGAGCTTCATTAGCATATTTGTTCATGCCATTTTGCCTAAGTCTAGTAGTTATGTATTTGGTTATGTTGTCATTTGAATTTAAGTTGTAATATTGGAAGAATGTAAGTTTAAGTTTAAGTTTCAAGTTGTAAATTGTAAAGCAATATTGTAATCATATTTGATGCATGACTATTTACGTTGGAAGGGCCTTAGACCTATTTTAGGGTATGATTACATGTATGATGAAAATATGCATGAAAAAGGTATTAGTGATTGCAACTATTTGAGGATGATTAATATGAACTATATGCCTAATAACTATAAACTGGATTGGGTTGTAAGTGCCCCAAGGCGTTGTTGGTCCTTGTGTGTGCCACCCATTGGATTATTACTGTATTATCATGTGTTTATTAGGTACATTTGAGGTTTAAATGATTTTTACAAATTTGGGATTATTGGAAAAATAAAGGAAACTCTGACAAATTTTCTGTTGAATTGGCAGATTTTAGGAAAACTTAGGGAGAGCATATCTCCCTCCATAGAGGTCCAATAGTGACGTGCCATACACCATTTTGAAGGTTGAGAAGTCCTCTACCTTTTGTCAAAATTTGAGCAAATTTTGGGTTGATCTTCGGCCTGAAAAAAATGGAGAAAACGGACTGCTCATGTGCCACTGCACCTGAGGCAGATTCTGGACCGGATTTGGGAAATTAATTCCCACTTCGTTTCTCAGTCAAATTAAGTGTGTGATATATCAAAATGAAGTTTGAGATGTCTAGTGTGTAGGATAAAAATTTGAGAGCAAATGGATGAGTGGATTGAGTTCAGTAATTCGAGTAATATAAGTGGTTTGGAGCTGTGTTTGGGGTTGTTTGGCTATTTGCTTATCCAACTTCAAACGGCGATAACCGGAACAAATGAGCTCCGAATTGAGCATGTGATAGCTTGTTGAAAAGGGAATTAAGTAAGACAAAGATTTAATCTAAGAAGAAGGTTTGGTTGCGAGCGGTGTGGTCTCAGAAAAATTAAGAGTGAAACATGTTCGAATAGGTAAAAACGTAAAGTTTGGAAATTGGCTAAGTGAGTTTATGGGAACTCCTTAGTAACTTATAATAAGTAAAGTAAGTTATAAAAATAGTTTAAATAAGTCTTCCGCAAGAGTTTACGGTTACAGTCACATCTTTTAATTATTACGCTTTTTTATGTTTTAAATGCTCGCGTAATAATCGGAAAAAGTTTATTCGCATTTTTATAAATGAATTGCTGTGATTGTAACTGCGCTTAATATCATAATTAATGTTAACAATACCGGTGTACAACGGGCTGTTACATTCCGCATTTTTATTAAGTTCTGCTTAATACGATGATATGATAACAAACCGGGTATACACGGCCGGGGTGTTACAGGCATCATCTTAGGCTACTTACATTGACAAAACTCTTGCCAAAATTCAACCTAAGAATTCTAAGAGAGGAATTATAACTCTCATTTGTGGAATTCATTTTCCTAAAGAGTAACCAAAGACTCTTGAGAAGGAACAATGCATTAGTAGGATACCTTATGCATGGGCAATAGTCTATCTCATACATACCATGTTTAGCGTTCAACCAGACATCTGCCACGCAGTGGGAGTAGTGAGACGGTACCATTCTGGACTTAGAGGAACACTAGATTATGCTAAGCATGTACTCAAGTATCTTTGGAGAACTAGAGGTTATATGTTGGTATATTCTAGTGGGAGTCTTGAAAAGCTGAGTTTCCACAAATTTAGTTTTTCAAGTGGATATTGACTCAACTCGAGCTATGAGTTTTTCACTAAACTCAGATAGAATTTGTAACATCCCGTTACATATCGGAATTGTTAACATTGATTATGATATTAAGCGCAATTACAATCATAGCAGTTCATTTAAAATGCGAGTAAACTTTTTTCTTTTCATTATGTAAGCTTTAAAAAATAATAATAAAACGTAATGATAAAAATTGTGATCACAACTGAAATCTAAATGCGGAATAAATAAAATAAATGCCTAACTATCATACAACGCTTATCTTAAGTCACTAAGGCTTTGTTTGGGAGTTTGGAGGGGAAGAGAAGGAAGGGGATCCAATGGAGAGGGAGGGGAAGGAAGGGAAGTAAATTGGAGGTGTTTAAGTCATTATCTTTGTTTTATTTTCTTAGTGTAGTTCTTAACTTTCGCTCTTGTAGATTTCTGGGGTGTTTAAACTTCTTTTCCATATTTCATCCATACCTTCACCTCAGCCCACTACAACCCTGCATAAAGCCATCTTGATTTGTGCATAGTAGCAGTGGAGAAGTAGAACTAAGCAAGCCTATGGTAGAATGATTTTCTTGAGTATATTTGAGTGATACACTGATTATCTGATACACTTAAATAAATAAAAAATTAAGAGCATCCTATAAGAAATCATTTTCTGTAATTGGCATGTGCAGTTGAAAGTAGCAGGTCTTGTGATTTGAAATTAGGGAACTTTTGTCCTGATTGGTTTATCTATTGAAGACTTGTGATCTTTGTGTATTTTCTGTATGCTTGGTAATTGTTAGAAAAGATTGGTTGATCTTAGTCTTTGCTTTCTATTTTAGTTTTTGCCCAATAGTGCAAAACAGATAAGTGTGGGGCAATTTGATAATGCATATTTTGTTACACTTATTTATTACTCTTGGTCAGTATTTTTAGAATTTATTTGAGTTAAATAAAGGTCTTTTGGGTCAAATTAGAATTCTACATTTTAAATGGGTTTAATTGATTTTCGTCAGAATTTTCAACATTCATACTAGTTTTGAATTTAGGCCATACTCACTCTACAGATGTCCGATTAATTCTGTTCTTGTTACTTTTTGAAGCTAACAGAAAGGGTTACAATCACTATTTCAGTCACTGAAGCTCAATTTGGACGGGAAAATGGTCGAAACCTAAGCCCAAGATAGACGTGTTTTGCTGGAAATTAATTTCGACATTTAGACTTATAAATTAAATTAGAACTCAATGTGTTTAAGGCTCAAGGCCATGTTTTAATGTTTTATTTTATTTATTAAGTTTTTATTTTATGTGTGGGCCGAAGTGGTAGAACCCTAACCCGTTCTGAATGTGGGTTATTTAAAGGGAATTTTAGGAAACCCTTTCGGCAGTCAGATTTGGAGTTAAACAATTGTTTGAGTTTTTTTTTGAAATTAGAAATTCTGCACTCTTTTCTTTTCATCTTCTCCTTCTCCTTTTATGTTATTTTGAATGATGTTTAACCTCGCGATGCTAGGCTAAACACCTTTAATCAATCGAAGGATTAAGGGTTCATTAGTTTATTTCAGGGGATCTGTTTCAACTTTTTAATCAATTTCATTTTTCCAATTCAGGTTGAAGATCATTCGATTGTAGGTATTCAAACTGAATAATGTGATTGCATTCTATAAAGGAAAATTGATCATAAGATTTAATCGTCAGATTAATTAACCCGATAAACGTAAGTTGAACAGGTTAAAACTACTGCGATTGCATAGTTGAAATACTGTATTCAACCAAACGCTAGGCGATAGTCTAGAGAGGGTTTCCAATTGAATTTGAGGATTCTGAATTCAATTGGGGTTAATCACAAATTGATAACCTTTTCTTTATCCAATGACAAAATAAATTAATGAAACCAATTTCCTTAGGTTGATTGCTTAAAATTCTGATTTTTAAATCCCAAATCTCAATTTTGTTCTTATTTAAATTTCAAATCAACAAAATCCCCATTTTCTTTTATATTCTATTTTTATAGAAACATTTTTGATTTCTAGCAGGTTATTGGGAGACGATCTGAGTTACCCTATCACTACAAACCTAAAGCTCGGTAATTTGCGTGGGTTCGATAGTCCACGTCAGTGCGTCTGATAATTTTCCTCGTGAGGCTTTGACTGCCTAGAAGCATAAGCAGCCACTCTCCTTTCTTGCATCAGAACACTCCCCAAACCTTTCTTGGAAGCATCATAGTATAATTCAAACTCACCTTCAGGATCAGGAAGAGTCAACACAGGAGTAGTAGTCAATTTCTCTTTAAGGGTCAAAAAGCACTCCTCACATTCCTGGGTCCACACAAAAGGAGTATCCTTTCGTGTCAATCGAGTCAATAGCAGTACCATAGCTAAAAACCCATGTATAAACCTATGATAATAACCAGCAAGACCCATAAAGCTCTTGATCTCAGTCAAAGTCTTAGGTCGCTCCCAGTCATTTACCGCTTTAATCTTACTCGGATCCACAACACCACCACTAGAAGAAAGCACATGACCCAGAAATTGCACCTCAGATAGCCAGAATTCACATCTAGATGGCTTAGCATATAGCTTCTTATCTTTCAAAACCGGCAACACAGTCCTCAGATGATCCATATGCTCATCTTTACTCTTGGAATAGATTAAAATATCATCAATGAACACAATAACAAACTGATCTCGATATAGTTTAAAAACGCAATGCATATAGTCCATGAACACCGCCGAGGCATTAGTAAGCCTAAAAGGAATCACCTGGTATTCAAAATGTCCGTATTTGGATCGAAACGCCGTCTTAGGCACATTCTCCGGCTTAATCAGGATCTAGTGGTATCTGGACTGGAGATCAATTTTAGAAAATATACAAGCACCCCTCAACTGGTCCAGAAGATCATTAATTCGCGGCAAAGGGTTCCTGTTCTTAATCGTAACCTTATTCAACTGTCGGTAATCAGTACACAATCTCATGCTACCATCCTTCTTTTTCACAAATAGTACAGGTTCTCCCCATGGAGACACACTCGGTCTGATAATATTCTTTGCAGATAGCTCCTCAATATGCTTCCTCAACTCAGCGAATTCAACTGGAGACATCTGGTATGGAGCCAAAGAGATGGGCCCCACACCAGGCAACAAGTATATGGAGAACTCAATCTCCCTCTCAGGTGGAAATTCTGGTATCTCATCATGAAATACATCAGCAAATTCATTAATCATCGAAATATTTGAAATTTCCTCTTCTTTATCGCCAACAAGTCCACCCAATAGTACATAACCCAGATCACCAGCCTTCAAGGCCTTAACAGTTTGACAGACAGACAGATAAGGAGACGGACAAACAGCGAGCTTCTCAGGAGATAATATCAACCTCTTTTCGCAGCAATCAACTATTGTGCAATTTTGAGACAACCAGTCCATACCCAAAATCAGATTAACAGAGGCCAAGGGCAAGATAATCAAATCAGTAGTATAACCCCTGCCTTCAAATACAAACTCAACATCTCTACACATAAAGGAGGAATCACTAACCTCTTCTGTAGCAGTAGTAATATGCATGGGGGTAATCATCCTTGTTACCTTTAAATTTAACCCCTTAGCTACATATTCTGCGACGAAGGAATGCGTCGCTCCCGAATCAAACAAAACAGACAAGTTAATATTAGAAATTAAAATTATACCTTTAACCAAATTCAGTGCTTTTTCTGTCTGCTGCACATTGGTAGTATAAACACGTCCCACATTAGGAACAGATGGCAAGGCCTGTAGATTCGAAGCCTGCCCAGTATTGCTATAACACTCTCGGGTATAATGTCCAACCTTACCACATTTAAAACATGAATTTGGAGCTGCAAAACAAGGACCCCTATGGTATCTCTTGCATTTTTCACACTGAGGAGCAGAATTTCTATCATTGAATCCACCCCTCTGGCCACCACCTCTCTAGAATTGACCGGGAGGCTGCCTTACCTACAAGCCCTACCTCCGTTATTATTATGATGGTGACCATCCCTGTAATTAGAGCCTGAAGGACCAGCCGTCCTCTTAACTTCTTGATCCTTAGCAGAGTTAGACTTAGGATATCTGCCATAAACAGTCTCAGCCCTTTTGCACTCGGTCACCAAGTCGGCAAAATTCCTTACAGCCGTATTCGACACACGTTTAGCAATCTTTTCACTCAGTCCCCTTTGAAATTTCGAAGATAAATTTTGTGGAGTAGGCAGTGTACCCCCATAATTAGCAAACTTGACCAATTCATTAAACTTGGCCAAATAAGCATCAACATTCAACGAACCCTGTACCAATTTATCAAACTCCCCCTGTTTAGCTTCCCGGACATCCCTGGGAAAATACTCCTCGTGAAATAAGCCCTGAAACAAGGCCCAAGTAAGCTCTTCTCCCTGAATAATAAAAGGGCGAGATACATTGCACCACCACTCATGGGCATCACCCTCCAGCATATCAACTGAATACATAAGCTTCTGAGGATCCTGGTACCTTATCACCTGAAAGATCTTATCCATCCACATTAGCCAGGTCGTAACAACCTTTGGGTCCTTTGAACCCAGAAAAACAGGAGGTTTATGTTTCCTGAAAGCAATCAATCTCCTCTCATTAGCATGACCTGCTTCAAAATGCTCAGCCGCTCCAGAAGTTTGAGCAACATAGGTAGGATCCACAGTGGGCTGACTAGCCTCACCAGTATGATGACCAGCCCCACTCTCCCCCTGTTAGGGTGTAAAATATAGCGTAGGTGTAGGAGTCACCGTAGCCGTGTGAGGAGGAGAATCATCCCTCTTATGATGAGCTCTCTCAGCCCTCATCTCAGTCATGAAGGCCTGCATCATATCCTGATTTGTTTTCATCAGGTTCTCGGTCATGGTTCTATTTGATGTCGTCTCCGCCCGTTGAGCATTCAGAACTGCAGTAACCAGATCAGGCGGTGGAGGATCTGCACCTCGTGTCCCACGACCGCCACAAATCCTCCTCGTGATAACTGTACATGTAACATAAAGGAATGAGTTGATCAGACCCACACTGAGGAATCACATATACATCAATCATAAAAAGCTGTAAGACAGCTATGCAACACAAAACACAGTCATACATAATCAAAGTTCCCTAGTAAACTGCTCTGATATCATAAAATGTAACAGCCTATTATGTACCGGTATTGTTAACATTGATTATGATATTAAGTGCAGTTACAATCACAGCAGTCCATTTAAAAATACGAGTAAAGTTTTTCCTTTTCATTACGTAAGCTTTTAAAAATAATAACAAAATGTAATTATAAAAACTGTGATCATAATAGAAATCTAAACACAGAACAAGAAAATAAATACCTAAATATCATACAACTCTTATCTTAAGTCACTAAGGGGTTCCCATAAATCCACTTAGCATAAATCTCACTTTTACGATTTTTACATAACTAAACATGGTTCAGTCTTTTGGACTCTGAGCGTGATTTAGTAGTTACAAGACTCATATTTTAATATGTTATTCTATACTCAATTAAATTTCCAACAAGATATCACACACCCCATAAAATTCTCATTTGCTCCGGTTATCACCGTTTGAAGTTGGACAAGCAAAGCTGCCAGCCAACCCCAAACATACCTCACAATTTCTATGATTTTGAACAAAGAACTTCACCACTTTCTCTCAAATTTTTATACAATAAAATAGACACCTTAATATTCAATTTAACATATCATGGGTCTAATTCGAGTAATAATTGAGGGAGAAATAATTTTTCCAAAACTGCAACCCGACAGCCCCTATGTGCAGGGCATTCTGGACATTCCCCCCTCAATTGCGTCTAAAGGTCTGCATACAGCTTCAATTGCTACCAATGTTTTACACAACATATTTGACATCTCAAGCTTCAAAGTGACATATGGCACGTCCCTATTGGATCTTTGTGGAGGGAGATATGATCTCCCAAAGTTAACCTCAAATCTGCCATTTTAATAAAAATTTTGACGGCATCTCCTTTGTTTATTCAACCTATCCCACTTCATCAAAAGCGTGTTATTATGCATCAAGGGAACCTAATAGACAAGGGTGGAACTCAAGGACCAAAAATGCCTTGGTGCTCTAACAACCCATAACCTTTTGCATTATTTTCATCCATTTATCATTCATGCTTACTTTATCAAAACTTAGATTTATTTTAATCACATTGTCCCATTTGCATGCATTCTTACAATAAACATATAATCATAACCTAAAATAGGTCTATTTCCCTTTCATCACATACATGCTTTAAATATTACACAAGGTCCATAATTTACAATTTACAATACTCCCAAATGGTAACATAATACAACAAAGTACCTCAAAATACAACATAATAAATCATCAACTAGATTTAGGAAAAATGTGGCATGAACAAATATGACAAGATGCATAATCCTAAAGAAATATACCATGTTCATGCCCTAAGTCTAGCCTATGCCAGAAGTGGCCTCAAAATGCAAAAAGTCCTCTAACTCTGTAAGCTCATCCTGTAGGCCTCTTGTCCATGGCTCCAGACCCACCACAACCACCTGAAATAAGGCCCCAAACACAGGGTGAGATATACAAATATATTTCAGTAACCCAGAAGTTCTAGAGATCACTCCTCTCAATGGCTCACTCAGATGTTAAATCAACAATGAATAATAACAACCAAAGAGGGATAAAGCATGGGATTTAGTGAAGTAGGGATGCATAGGGAGTAAACATACGATGAAGCTGGAATGGTCATAGCCAAAACCGTGTAACATCCGGCCTATTGGCCTCGGCATATAGCCTACGGGCTCTCATCCAAGAATGTGTTCCCAGAACATCATTCAAGGCACCCACCACCAATACACCCGAGACATTCCTAGAGTGCTCCTCAACGGATAACAGCTCTATGACCCCAGGTCAACTGGAACTCCCTCACAGAGACCTATCCAGTGGAAGTCTATAACGTCATAAGACAACTATCTACTGGCTAGAGATACAGTACATCCTATGTACCCAATATATATACTTATGCATGAGCATGTTATAACTACACTCTTGACATACAACCTCCAACCACTACCCCTAAGGGGCATAGCGGAGCACACACGGGGAATAATCCCAGTACCAAGGGATTACCTTATTGAAGCTCCCAAGCTAGGTAGCTCGAATACACGTTACATGTGAACTTGGTCCATCCAGAAATACCTACACATGGTCATTCTCATTCCATTAGCAACACATAAAACCATACACTTGGTTATTCAAGCATTCATGCAATTTTCCATAAATACTTACCACAATCCTTTTGGTCAAGGATCAAAGGCAATCCACCAAGCTCACTGCTCAAAGATTACGTCCGTGTGAGGTGTTGGACGTTTAGCAAGTGCACTAGTCGTACAAGTAATAAAATGATGAGTAAAGATCGTTCCCACGAGGAATTGTGTTTAAACACCAATATACCATAGAAAACTAATTTGAATCAAATAAGAGTTTGTAAAAATCATGAATAATTTGTCACCAGAAAATTGATTTTGAGTAAATTGACACAAAGTAAATATGGATTAGGAATTAATAAAAACAACAAGTAGTCAGAAAACAACTTTCCTCCATGATAACCCATATAAAAATTGATCATATGATGAATTCCTTTCCATGTGATGTTAATCAACCTTTTACTTATCATCAAGATGTAATCCCTTACTACCCTGATAGAAACATTAATCAGAAACCCCAATCCCTTGGTGATTTCTTTCTTAATACATGCATGAAATACTAAGGTTTTAAGATTACATTAGAACTCTAACATCAATCCCTTGAGTACTAGAATTCTGATGTTGAGATTATCAAATGCAGAAGTCATATAAACATCCCTGTTCTATACTACTTCTTTGATAGAAATCGTTAACTCAGAAAATCTCAAATCAGCACATGAAAAATATTTCATCATATTAATCAAATCAACATAATATTATCATGGAGTTCCATTGCATTCAAACTACAAAGACTCTACTCAGACATGACTAAGGAATAAATAAGAGAAGAAGAAACAAACTTCATTTCCATGTTGAAAGTCTTCAATCTCCAAACTATTACAAGGAAATCCTAATACAAAAACTAAGAGAATTTAGAGAGAAGTCAGACTAAGTTTTAGAGAGAGAGAGAGTTCAGATCCCCCAAGATCCTCCTCTAAGTGTCAAGGCTTTGCCTTATATAGTGTTACAATTAAAAACAGAAAACTGATATGGGCGCTAAAACGTCCATAAGTGGCCGTTTTAGCGTCCATGCTTTACGTATGCTCAACTGCTTTTAACTGATTTCAACGCTAAAATGTTAAGGAATGACCGTTTTAGCGTCCAAACTTGGTGAATGCTCAACTAACTTTAACTGACTCCAACGCTAAAACGTTTGATTTGGACGTTTTAGCGGTGAAGACCAGAATCTTTTTCCACTTTAGGGCGCTAAAACGCATATTGCAGGCCGTTTTAGCGTCCAAGACCAGCAATTTTCCATCTTCTTAGTGTAGCAGCCCGCTAAAACGCTCTGTGTGGACGTTTTAGCGCTCATCACCAGCAAGTTTTGGCCTCTTTCTGTAACAGGGCGCTAAAACGCTTAGTGTGGATGTTTTAGCGCTCAACACATAGGCAATTTTTCTCCTCTTGAGCTCCAGAATCTTCTTCCTTCTCCAGTTGTCTTTCAAGCTTGCTTTTCCTACAAGAATCATACAAATTTCCAATAAAGCTCTTGAACTTGTAATTGAGGACATCTTAGGACATTTACCTTGTTTTTCATCATTTAATCACACAATTTGATCCTAATTCTTGCTAAAAACCATGATGAACTAAGGGTTCATCATGAGGCAACCTACAATGATCACACAAGGATCATCAATCCAATTATAAATCAAGTTGAGTTACAAAGCAAACACTCTTCCTCACACCCATCGTAGGGTTCGGCCATCAAGGCCCAAAATACCTCATCATGTTGTTAATTTTATTTTAACATCCAAATGGCTTCCCAAGCTCCCAACAACATCATTTCAGGTCCTCAACTTCATTAAATTACCACTCAACCTCGACTTTCCTAATTTTCCTCTTTCAGGCCAAATTCAACACTTAGGCACATCCAATGGTTTCACTTCCAATTCACATGCATCATACCAACACACAACCTATTTAAACATAGCTCCAACCATCACAACACCAATTACATAAATTTTACAACATTTTTCCCTCACATTCCTTAGATGGCCGAATGGTGCATGTCCATATACCTAGGGGTATTCAATTCAATTTCACACTTCCACACATCTTACAATCCTATAATTAACCCATACAATTACTCCACAACTCAATTATACAATCACACCATAATTCCATTTCACAAAGTCATGCATATCCATAATAAAATTTGCCTAAGTTATCATACTTTTCATCAATATTTTTATGAGCTCAATCATTATAAAACATCATTCTAAGATACTTTTATCTAATACACATTTTCAATTTGAGGTCCCCAACCATATCAATCACATAACACATGCTCTAGGTTCATGAAATCAAAGCCAACAAATTATCAAATAAAATGTGTTGAAACTTACCAAGGATTAAGGCCTATGACTCCTCCACACAATACCCAAACAATGGTTGATCAAACAACTAAGAACACCAACTTTCTTCACCAAAACTGTGGGCATGGTCAAGGTTTTCACACAAATCAATGAGTTTCAAGGCTTGAGAGTACCATGGTTGGGCTTAGAATGCATTTTACTTCAAGTTTCATGTGGTGGAACATTGGTTTTGGTGGAGTAAAAACCAAATAAAAATTTGCACTAAGGAGGGGGGAGGGCCGCGAGTTTGTGGAGTGAAGAAGATGGTGAATAGTG